TTCCTCTAATAATGATCCACTTCTTTCATCCCCTTAGTAGGGAAGGACAAATCTGACTCCATGTTAGACCTGTTCCTTTAGCTCCAACCCTGTGCTAAGTCACAGTGGTTCTGCACCTTTTGTAAAAGAATGTTGCCTGGAGCCTGAAATAGACAGGAGAGCCCATCCTCAAGGCTCTAGTCTTTAAGGATGTAACATTTTCCCATTCATACAGAGATAAAAAGTTACAGAACAGAGAATAGTATTCGTCTTATTGGAGGTATATATCGTGAGCTGACCTATGTGGACAGCTGCAAGAACAAAGAAGTTTGCAAGAACCAACCACACCCCCTCCTCTTTTTTTTAGTATAAAAAGGATCTGAATTCTGATTTGGGGAAGATGGTTCTCTGGGACACGAGTCCCCCATCTTCTTAGTCTGCTGGCTTTCTGAATAAAGTCATTAGTCCTTGCCCCGACACCTCCTCTCCCAATTCATTGGCCTGTCCGTTGGCAAGCAGAACGAGTCTGAACTTGGCGACACCACTCCCCCACAATAAGACTAATCTCGCCCCACAGTCCTCCTCGCATTAGCAACCAGAGACTCCTCATGTTTTGATTTCTGTGCTCTACGCAGGTAGTGAACTAGCTAGAATTCAGAGAAGTAAAATATGATCATTTCAGGGAGGAGAGTAGAGCTCAGTGGTAAAGCGTGTGCTTAGTGGGCACAAGGTCCTGGGTTCAATCCCCAGCACTTCCATTAAAATATATATATATGTAAATAAACCTAATTACCTCCCCCCCCCACCAAAAAAAAAACCAACAACTACAACAAAAGATCTGGTCATTTCAAATAACATCATGTAAAGCAAATGTGGTAAAATAATAGCAACTGGGGGATCTCAGCGATAAGCACACGGGAGGCTGTTCTTCCATTCTCACAACTTTTCTCTACATGTGAAATTCTTTCAAAATAAAATGTTACCCAAAAAAATAGCATCCTCTTCTGAGTATAGGAGAAAACTTTGAACTCACCATAGTCTAAGAGTTGGTATTTGTAGAGGTCGTCAGAACCATAGAACAGCACAGGAAAAGAAAAATGTTCAGAAAAATCACCCCTGAGTTAAAGATGGAAGCAGATTCAAGGTTTATTATAGAAATTTATTCCCTGCTTGAGTTTATGAGTCCAGGTTCAAGGCAACCGGCCCAGGAAGAAGTTCGGATTGTGGGTCTCCAGGCTTCTCCAGACCATCGTTTATCTGCAAACGAAACACCCAAGAGGCTCCTCAATCTTTACATCAGCACCAGGCCAGCACAACCAAGGACAAATTAAAACGCAGTGAGCATAAAACGTGGCCTTGAGACAGATTAAAATGAGCAACGTATTCGCCCACGTCAAGCTGAGATGGCAACGTTTAATTAGTAAAGATAATGATCCCTTATCAACACAGAATTATGCTCAAAGATGGATGTGTGGGGAGGCAGGCAGGGGGGTGAAAGGAAGCAGCATTCTGTTCCTGGGTTATGTGACACTACAGGTGACCCAGGTGGCTCTGCAGTGCATCGCCTTTGGGACAGAAAGAGATCAGCATCACAGTCACGAAACAGCAAACAAGCTTATAGTTGCTACGCATTACACAACATGGAGCTGGCGTGAGTGAAACTTCCTCCCTTCAATATTCAAGCTTCGTCTTCGTTCAAATCGCCAATTCTTTCTGAAGTTTTTCTAGATTGAACAGATATGCTAAGCACCCGGCACAGGTGCAAGAGAGAGACTGACTATTTTTTTAAATGGCAATTGGCCCCTCTGGGACATGTACGGATTTGCTGTCTCACGTTTTGGCTTTCAAGGCAGAGCCTTCTGGGGAAATGTTACCGAATAGAAAATATTTGACACAATTCAGGAGTTCATTTTCAGCCTGCCCCTAGGGTAAATATCACCTAAACCTCAAAAATGCGAACCCATGAACATAGAAAAATATATATACAAGTTGCTACACGTCTCCTCTTAGCTATACCTGAAAAATAATTGGTGAAGTAATGAATAATTTTTGTTACCACAGTCAGTTCATCTAATGGATTAAATAACCAATGTCTGCAAAGAAAAACAAATGCCGCCAAACAGATTAATTAATCATGTATCAAACTCATGGCTTCAGGAGAGGGTCGCTGTAACTCAGTAACTAAGGCACAACTCTGGAGCCAGGTGCCTGGGTTGGAATTCTGCCTCTGCTGCCTCCTGGCTGTGCAACATTGGGCAAGTCACTTAACAGCTCTGTGCCTCCATGCCTTCCTCACATTAAATAGCAACAATAACAGTACATGGTTCATTTGGTTATTGTAAGATTAATGAGTCTAAATTACATAAAGCCCTGGGAACCCTGCCCAGCACATACTGAGTGTTATATAATTATTGGCCATTGTGAGTAGAATCTTAAAAGTAAACTTTCTCACTTAAATGATTAGGTGATGGGACTAAAACCATTCAAAGGTTCACTTGTTTAGGACTATGGAGAACTGGATTGAAGTCCTTCCATCCTTACACCCACATGATCTGAAACAAGCCAACCCCTTCCTTGGAGATAAATAGGTAACAAACATGAATGATAACTGCTACTCATGAGACACGAAGGCAAGCTGTAAGAGGGAAAACTGGTAGAGGGGAAAATGATTTAGGAGGTTGTCTGAAGACAATGCAAATGAGACGTGAGCATACTAGGGGCAGTCCAGGTGGTGAGAAGCATTGGGATTCAGATTTGGAGGATTTGTTGCTGAGAGAACAGAAAGAGCAGGAAAAGAGGGCAATTGAAAATGTTGCTTCTGTGTTTGGCCTGAGCAGCCAGAGGGCCGGTCCTGCCTTTAAGGAAGATGGGAGAGTCTGGGAACGAAGCAGCTTCGGGGGAGGAGAAATCAAAAGTTTAGTTCTGAACATGCTCATTTGAAAGTTCCAATTCTCAGTATTCAAGCAGAGACTCAGGCAAGGAATTGGATACATCAATCTGAAAATCACGGCAGAAGTCAGAGGTCAGGAAGACCAGACCCAGGAGTCCCATCTCGAGGACAACGTCTGTCCCCCATACTAATTTTAAGACAGCTAATTATCCATTAGATATAGTCGACTGGTACAGTGAGCTAGATCTTACAACCTAACTACACATGTTATCAAATGCAGGAATGAATATTTTGATTGAAACCGGTTCACCATTTGGGCGTTGAAGATTGATGTCAAGGAATCCCAGTGGAAGGAGGCACTTTTCACTATCAACACAGAGCCAGTGTGAGTGTGCCCAGAATGAGGAAAAGCCAGCAGCTGGAACCCCAAATTGCCCCGCAGCAAGCGCGGCTGTTTCCCTTCTGCTGTGTATTTCAAGGGTTTCCAGCAGCTTTCAAAACCATTTAAGAGCCGGGGCAGCCAGCAGCCTCCCGGATCACTGCCAACGGCTGAGCGTTCTGTTAGAACCAAGCACACAGGAAGATTGAGCGAAAGCATCTCTATCTGTATTCTGTGCCTCCAGCACAATGTTTCCTTATGGAAATGCACGACTCAACTCAAGAATATAAGTTTTGTTTGGAAAGATAAAAGGAAGTCAAGTTTGGCACTCCGAGGAAGTGACTTTTAAACAGCTAGGCACCAAAGCACTGTGGACGGTGCACGTCAGACTCCAGAACCCAGGGCACTGCGTTAATAATGCAGTTACAGCCTCTGTCTCTTTCCATTCGTCAGCCTTTCTTGGAGCCAAACCCTCAATGCCACCTGCTTTGTGGTCTAAGCTGTCTTTCTGCAAGAATGTCCTAGCCTAAGGTCCTGTGATCATGTCACCGAGAGAGCGCTCTCAGGCTAGATGGGCACAGCAGCGTCACTGGGGGATTGGTGGCTTCACTTGGAGTTTTGCAGCACTGATATTCGTGTTTATTGTCCGTTCCTTACAGCACCCCTGAGAGGTCGGCGAGCACTGTTATCCTCAGCATCCAGTGAGGCAGAACAACACACTTGGGATTAGGAAAAGAGGCTGAATTGGGGCTGTTAGCATGCTATGTAGTCCAGAGACACACACTCTCATTGCGAGCAATGCATCAGCAGGAGTCCCGGGGTCCAGACTGAAAGCGAAAACACCAGTATGTTTCCCCGAGTGATCCCTTCCCACATACGAGGCCAGAGTGGGAACCCTCACGGTGGTACCCACAGCGTCACAACAGGTGTAAGGGGCGGCCACACTCCCCTCCCCAACATCCGTCCTCACCCTCATCCCTTCCCCACACATGCCAGAGACAGAGCCCAGACCCCTACTCTGCAAACCTCCCTCCTTCCCCAACACTCAGGCGCACATCGTCACCCACGACCAATAACTTACAGCACATCTCTAGTTTAGAAACTGTTTCTATTACGTGTCTTTGGAAACTCTCAACAATTTTGGCTTCTTCTCACTTAATTTCTTCCCCTCCGCGCATATGGCAAGTTGTGCTTTTTGAGGCATGTTTTTCCCCTAAGATACTTTATATTCCCTTAGCTCTTGAATAATGTCAATAGAACTTATTACTAAGCAAGCGCACTCATTCAAGTAGGATTAGAACTGTTGTGATTTAACAGGAAGACACCCTCAAAGGCAGCTCTATTTTCATCCTAAGAGCATGGATTTCAGAACTAAAGAGACATGAGTTCAAATCTTTCTCCCTCGCTTAAATCAGCTCTGTGACTTTGACGAATCACTGACCCCTACAGTGGCCTCATTCATAGATCTGGATGATATAATAGAACTTATAGGGTGGTCATGAGAAAATACTAATATATGATATATAGAGAGCTTGACACATATGAGGCGCATAATGTATGAAAATAATTGTGATTTTTAGTAAGTTTCTTGGGTTCTATGAATTTCATTCTCTTAATGAAGCCAAAGTCAAGAGAATGGTGCAGATTAAATGAGGTAATATACGTAAAGCCCCGCACAGTCATAACACAGGGCAGATAGGCAGGCAATAAACAATACTTCTCCTCCCGAGGGAAGGGATTGTCTGCATTGTGAACAAAAAATACTGCAAGCCACATCAGTAAACAAAGAATGCTGAAGCCACCAAGTCATCAGCAGCTGCCGCCACCCCCCAGTGAGGACAAGCCTGCAGCCCAGCCGCTGCAGCCACTCACAAGGGTGCCCTTTGAGGGGACTCAGAGTAAGAAAGGACGGGACACTGGCCCTAGATGGCTAGGTGCTTGT